GAGAGATAATTTTCTGTTCCAGCATGTTAAAGACCCGACACATTACAGAGGGGAGCAAACACCCAAGTCACTAGACCTCATCATAACAAACGAGGGTGCGGTGGCCAAACTAAAACATCTAGCCCCAGTTGGCAACAGTCACCATGTAGTGTTGTCATTCAGATTTAACTGTTACCTAGTTCATGATAAAGCCAGGCCAAGGTGCAAATATTACAAGGGAAATTACGACGGGATGAGGGAAGAGATACGCGGTAGCCACTGGCCTGACTCACTAAGTCACATGAACGCAGACACCATGCTGAATATCAAAACTAGTCAAGTAAACGATTTGATCGATAAATATATACCTAAGACCAAAACCAGTGCCTCTAGGAATACGAGGGGATCCCAACACATGAACCATGCGGCGGTCGACAAAGTTGAGAAGAAAACCCAGAAATTCAAGACGTGGGTTAAGTCAAACGATGAGTAGGAAAGGAGGATGTATGCAAGAGCCAGAAACCAAGAAGCAGGGACAGGGCTGAAAAGGAGTTCCAGAGGCTGGTTGCAAGCGAGGTCAAGTCAAACCCAAAGGCGTTTTACTGCTATGCAAAGTCGAAATTAAAAACGCGAGTAGGAGTATCAAACCTGAGGCTTGAAGATGGTAGTTACGCAGATTCTAACCAGGATAAAGCTGAGGCATTGAACAGCTTCTTTTCCTCGATGTTCACAAGAGAGGATGCGATTTACCTTTCTGCGTTTGAGGACAGACGTTCGACACAGCACTGACCCACAATGTGTTCACAGAAGAGGGTAAAAGAAATAAACTGTCAAAGCTAATGGTCCATAAGCGTCCAAGCCCTGACATGGTGCATCCCAGTGCTAAGAGAGTTGTGCAACGAGCTTGCCGAGCCCCTGAAGATCCTGTTCTGTAAATGCCTGGATGAACAAAAGGTCCCCAGTGATTTGAAAATGGCTTATGTGAGTCCTATCTTCAAGAAAGGCGATCGTTATTCCACGAACAACTATAGACCGGTGAGGCTGGCCAGCATAGTGTGTAAAGTACGTAGTTTGATGTGTGCTGGAAACGTTCTCAGAATTTTACTTGCATGCATTCACAAAAAAAAATGACTTTTTGTTATATTGCTGATAAGTGAACACATTTACTGTATATAACATTATCATTTGTAGATATTAGGATAAACAAAAAATTTGGTTGCTGTACATTCATGCATACCGCAAAAAAAAATAAACTTAAATTTTGATCATTTCTGGGAGTGGTATTGACAAATGTTCTTATACAGAGAGGATATTGTCACCTTGATGAGTTTTTTTTTAAACACCGTACGACCTATTGAACACTTTGAGGATGGTGCGTCCAGACGGTGCTGCTTTCTGGCTCAGTAAAGCGAGTGTGAGATTGACTCACTTTTGCACCATGCACTAATCAGCTTGGGGTTTACCTGCAGGGTCAAGGCCACCTCCTCGGGGCCCGCCAGGCAACAGTTGGTGAAATTGGTGCAAGAGCCTGTCTGAAGTACCCGTACTCCGCGCCCATACACCTTCGCCTCTACGCCGGAGGGTTAACACTGCCACTACCGATGCCTTCACGCCCCACAGCAATAAGCTCTTCTTCAACAGCATTTTCAGTTGTTGTAAGGACTCCAGTAGTCTGAACACGCCACCGCCATTGTGAATATTCAGCAGCAGCAATGGGTTAAGTGCTGTGTTGTTAAGCATTCCTCTTCGGTTTATGCTGACTCTCCACCACATGGTCCTTCGTCACGGCGCTCAGGGCCATCAGGGCGTCAACAGCAAACATTTCAGTGTGGTGATGAATCAGAATTAGTTTCCTCCATGACTTTCAAGAAGAGGTTTAGCTTTCTCACCATTCTAGCTACTGGGGACTTGTTTTCGTTCAAATTGTCGAAGACCTTGCTGCAGTACAGGACGCCCAAGACATAGGTGCAGGAGGCATTTTTTGCAACAGAATGTCCACGTCAGCAGATTGGCGCCTTTTCTCCAACCACCTACTGAGGAGAGACATGGTTGTGTGTGTCAGGGAAGTCGACCGAGTGTTAACAATAAACACCAATCTCGACCTGGCTCTCCCCTCCGCCTTCATTACTTCCTGCTCTTTGGGAAGGTTTTCTCGTGGTATAGGAAGACGAAATACGGCTTGGCAAACATTACACGCAATTATTCCGCCTGTCTCTCCGTCCAACCAATGGCGGTTGGCAATCACGGAACATCCGGATCGGGGGGGCACCTCGTTAAGGTAGACCTGAGGAGCGCTTGGCTCCTGTCCTCGTGGTAGTCCCGCAACCTGACTAACCTTACTAGGACACCCAGGTCAGTCTTACCTGCTTGTGTTGGTAAGTAGAGAAAATTAGGTCTTATGGGGTTGTTGTGTGTAAGAGTCAGGTGGTGGAGGGGGACGTGGGTCAGTCTGCCGCCAAAAATACCAAATGTGACGTAAGGTCAAAACAATGAAACCTATATTTCCTATCACAATGATTCAATTTATACGATCAAAGGACTCTCCCAGCAGAAAATCAAAGACCACCTACAGAAGGATGAGCACTAGGCCGAACAGGAAGATGGCACTGTTCTGGCGTCCGATGCACTTGTGTAGCATGACACATTGGTGGTCGCAATTCTGGATACAGCAGCGACAAAGGAAACAGTGGAAGAAGGTAGTCAACCTCAACAGACGGCTCTCGGAGCACCAAGCCCAAGTAAGGGCCTCCTGAGGTTGAAGGAAGGCTTCCTGCGGCCTTGCTATCCCGGGGTCTTTCACCGTCAGGACGAGGTACACGACGACAGCCAGTCTTCAGCAGGCACATGCTAATGGTAAAAGGAGAGGGATACCATACCACCACCTCCTTCCACCAGTAGGAGTGATCCCCCAGCAAAATATTAACCAACAGAATCAGGGACATGAAGCGGAGCCCCCAGCTGACCACTAAGTTCACCCAGTCCAAGGTGTCCATACTTCTGTCCCACTTAACCCCCCCAACACCCCTCTGGCACACACACCATCCTCTTCGGGCATTTTAAGGTTCATTTATAATTTATTGGAAGGATTAGTTGAGGAAATAGGGTGATAGGAAAACTTTTTACGGTGCGAAACGGGGAAAACGAACAAGTGATGAGGGGATGGTGAGAAAACAGTAATGAAAACACACTGAAACAACCAACCAAGGAAATAAGGAGACACAGACATATAACAAAAATAAATAATAGTAAAAATACTAACAGCAACAACAACGAAATATAAAAGGGCATGGATGTCCTCCCCAAAAATTATATAAAAAAACATTTCCTCCTCGTTTCTTAAAAAAAAAAGTATTTTTCTTAGCAACAATAGTTAATTTTATTTCATTTTGTATGTATACATCCCAAAATACGATAAAGTGTCCTTCATAATCATACACTTAGGAGAACAAATTATACAACTTATGCCCCTTTATAGCGTCAGGTGTTACATAACTTCAACATAAAAGGGATTGTTCTTTCAAGCGGTATTTTTAATTGCCCGAACCTCTTCCCCTTCGTGTGGGACCAAGTAGGGTAGGTCTGATAATACTGTCCACTTCGTTGATGCATTATGGGTCATCTCACTTGTGTTTTTTTTTACATTCGTTGGCGCTAAAATTAAGAGTACTGCGCGTTCATCATCGACATTTTTTCCTCCCAATCATCAAGGGCAAGTCCTATATCGTAGATATAACGTGATTTATTAGTCCATTTGATTGGAGAGGAAAAGATTTTACTTGTATGAATTATATTCTAATTCACACAAGCCTGCCGACTTTAGACTATGTAAAATCTGTACATATTTTCTAATTATATAATAATGCGCTTCAGTTCACCGAGTAGTATCATACACACAAGAGTCGTGTGTAGCAGCTCAGAACTAACATTATCTGGGCGAAAAATATTTCACCCACCCATTAATATAAGAAAATATTATGGTCGGTGAGAGGAAGGATAAGCCTACTAACGTAAATTTTACCGTATTTACCCAATGGCCACCCACTAGAGGTGGCCATGCTGAGGGGAGGAGGCCAGTGGCCTGTGTAGGATACCTCCATTGTTCCTGATAATTTTGTCTAGGGTTATTTTAAAGCCCAGTACTGTTCTTGGTTCTACAGCTTGAGCTGTTAGTCTCTAAGCAACACAACAAGTAAAGTTTTATCATTAAGCTCACTTCACCCCCAGAATCAGCCGCAGATTTGGGGAAGATGATACACGTCATGTGATCCTGGCTCAACCCCCCATGTTCGGGATGACATGCCAGACGTCAGCCAACACTGTTGGTCCTGCCTGTCGTGTGACGCGTCTGATGTTTCCCAAACCACCCTGTTGATTCTACCATATAGTTAAAACATTTTTGGCGAGCAACAACTAGTCACCTAACGAGTGGTAAAAGTAACGCTGGCGGGGAAGGAAAATGTAACGCTTGGAGGAGCACCACACAAGCCACAAGGTGTCAATACTTTAGAGTTAGCCCGACTGCATACCGAGGCAGACGGGCGCCAGAGTCGGAGAGACGCTGCCACCACCCCTCCTGCACTAGATGTAGCCCTCCACACGTGCTACATCTGTGGATGACCTATCATTGTATCAGCTGGATAATCGTCATACTCGATCACGAATGACAGCAAAGTAGGAGTAGCAAACACCTGCTGACGGAGGAGCTGACACCTGCTGACCTACACCACGACTGGCATCGCCAGAGAGAGAGAGAGAGAGAGAGAGAGAGAGATTACTCACGACAATATCACCCACAAACAATTAAGATCATAAAGAATGAACTGGTAGTTACTGAGTATTACTACAGGCCAACAAGGTCCATGGTGGTTTCATAAGGTTAATTGCGAAACATTGTTGTTGTCTAGGCATCTGTTTATCGAGAGATTATCCAATTATCAGAGAAGCTATAGGGCGGAGGAGGCGGAGCCAGTGATAACAGGTGAGGGTGGGGTGGGTAGTTGGTGGGGGTGAGAGCGATTTGAGAGGCGACGCGGAGAGACAGACCGTGAGGGTTGACTGGGACTAGTGTGCGCCTCACCTCTCATCACCAGTTCCCGCCAGTCCGCCACACACACTCCACCACCACACTCACGTAGGGTCATCACAGGTCACCACAACTATCAGAGGGCGACAAATAAGAAGACGAACTGGAAAACTTGTGAATACTTTTGAAAATTTACGAGGATCTGTGTTTTGGTTTCTAGGCTGTGTTTAGGCCTGTGATATTGCCTAGTCCCTTACACACACGTCGAGTTATTGATCACTCGCCATCCTTCTCATCTGCCTTTAAGAAAATGAATGACAAAACAGCGAATATTTCTTGACGACAAAATCCAAACGTAAACATAACATCTGAATGACAATAAAATTAACAGACCCAAAACAACTTTATGAAAAATTAATAATGGGGGTTATAAGACAATTTTAAGTGTTTTTGACGTTGTCCTAACCTAACCAAACGCTATTAAGTGGTGACCTAGAACATTATGGTGGTGTTAAGTGTGGGAAGTTTTGGGGCGCGTTGACTCTGGGGCCCAACCAGCTGTTCAACAACCAACACTACACATACACACACACCACACACTCCGCAACGGTACTTCTGGCGGCCTCACAATGCAACAAGTCGTGTGAGTACTTTTTTCTTATGGTTCTCTTAATACTGCCTTAAAGGTGAGTTATAATTAAATATTTGTATAGTTCCTTAAGCCTTTACCATGACAAAAGCTGAATTTGCCGATTGGGGTTAATGTTGGGACAGATGAAGGGTCTGGTTTGCTGTGTTATTCGACTACTAACTGACTGACTTTCTGACTTACTGATTTAATGAAGTAAAGAAAAAAAATAAATGAATGCTCTTGCGTCGATATCTTAAGTCACATAGCAAGTCGATTACCAACCCCAGACCATACTTGTGCTGTCAGGAAAGTGAGAAAATGTATTAATATTGACCTGTACTTTTCATTAAACCGGAATACTAAACTGCATCTTCTGTTAATAACTATGAATGCGTGTGTGTGTGTGTGTGCGGGGGGGTGGGGGGGGTCTATATTTGCGATGACAAGCAAACTGCCAGTATTATTCACTCATTATTTCACTACAGTACTTATTACCTTACTAGCCAATTGGATGGTTAATACTTGATTATTAGGAACTTTATTATCCAATGTTGACACAGAAGAAACACGAAAAGAAGCCTGATATTTGGTACGGTCATATTAGGTAACCTTTTATCACGTCTGCCCCAAACCAGGGCTCGAACCCAGGACAGAATGGTTAGATACACTCTCGTTACTCTGCGCCTCACAACACAAATATTACCAAGCTTATCTCGCCTGATTTACAAAGGTAGTTTTATATTAATATTGCCCCTTCTCCCCGAAAGTGTAATTACGACATATCCTAATGTGTTTTAGTTTAAGTGACTCAGTTTGATTCAATCTTAGTTCTTCAGCTATGAGGAATATTTAACCCTAGACTCCTAGAGACTGTACGCTGCTCCTTGACAACCCTTTACGGTATAAAATTCCTTAAATACTTGGCAAAATCTGGCACCTAATTATAATTATAAACGTGGCTAGGTAATAGCTGGTGAACGGGGATATCTATTACGCAGAACCTGAGAATAACATGAAAAACAATCTATATAAATAAAAATCTGAGGAAACTTATGTTAAAATCCCAAATCACCTTTGTCTCTGTTGCCCTTCAAGTGGGTGACTGAAAATGCCGAAAATATCTTGAGGCATTTTTCTCAGTTGGACCCATTGGACCTCAATTCTTGGATCTGGGTACAGTACTGGTGTGTGTGTGTGTGTGTGCGTGCGCGCGCGGTATTCTGGGCTTCTTGTTTTTATTATCGTATAAACGTTCAGCGTTTTTCTACTTGTCTCTTTTCTGGTCTTTTACGCTGTCGTGTTTATGAGTTCTTTCGTATGACCTTCATTTGACCTCATAATTGATAGTTATCCAGTATAAATATATCAATCAATCAATTAATTCCAAGTACCATTTATTTCCTAACATTCCTTCACGTGTCCTTGTGTAGAGTCGCCACCCCAGGAATGAGGACAGGTGAGGTAGGTTTAGGCATCGGTCGGTCATCACTCATTAAAGTGCTTGTCAGGGCCGCCCTCCACGTGTCTCTCTGACTCGAATATCTGCCGACAACTGATACCCCTCAGCCTGGTCTTCCTCTCTGTCTGTCCTCCACTACACTTGTCTTAACTTATTATAGGATCTCATATCATTTGGGTTCAGTTAAGTTAGATTAGGATTAGGTTAGGGTAATTTAGGTTAACTTAAGGTACCGTTGGTTTTCTAGATTAGATAAGGTTTGGTTAACTTAGGGTACGTTAGGTTAGATTACATTTAGTAGAGTGAATTACAATCCTTTACAGTTGTGCGGAGGTTTAGTGGATATAGTGTTTCCCTCCAGTCCTATGGGAACTGGTTCACTCCTAGATCACCCCTAATTAACCCAGTTGAAAATATGTACCTAAACTAACAACTGGGGAACGTGGCAATGGTCGAGTGTAATGTCGGTGACGCTGCATCTCTGGTGTTGTAGTATTGTGACGATGCGTGAAACCCGTGTACCGAAAATTGGTTATTGTAGAGCCTGTTGTAGCCGGGTCACTAGCTTTACGGGACCTACTTTTAATTATCTACAGTTATGTGATATAATAACCAAGGTAAGTTCTACTACAACAAAACAACCCTCACCCAGGTACTGAACCCTTTAACACACACTCATCAGTTTCCATCAATATTAACCACAAGCGGTCCACAACACCACTCACACAACTTTATTTACTATATTAAGCATCAATAGTTCAGGTAGTCTCGGTTAAGTACATTAGATCATACGAACATAAGGCCAACCAAACCCAGACACCTGTATAGTCTTCTGAAGCTTCTTACTCCTGCATGACGCAAGTTGATCGTTTCACAATATTAAAGAACATAAAAAAAAATCTAATTTATATTCATCTTTTTAGTTGTGGAAAATATAGAATGACAATATGTGTTATTTACGTAATTATCACACTGTTCTGAGCTCATGTTGACTCGGGTTTATAAATTCATTAGTTACCTTGAAAATTATTTACCTAATTATAAACAACTTACCACTGAAGGAAAACGACGGAATATTTGAGACGATCGTGGGAGGGGGGGACCGGTGAGGGTCGGGTCACGTCATGTGTTGTAACTTTGCCTTCATTACAGCTTCCCCCCCCCTCCCCCCCACCCTTCCGCTAACCCTTCCCAGGCCTCCAATTCTGTCCCCCCCCCCTCAAAACACCTAACCTAACCCCCTTCCCCAGCAGTATATACGTACACACACAAACAACTTAACAATTTAAGTTCGGTATACATTCACAACTGGGAGGACTAAGGAGGCCCCCGGACGAGAACCTGCGGCCCAAAGGAGAGGAGTGTGTACTGTGAGGGTGTGTAGTGTGAGGGTGTGTAGTGTGAGGGTGTGTAGTGTGGGGTGTAGGAGGGTGTGTACTGTAGGGGTGTGTAGTGTGAGGGTGTGTAGTGAGGGGTGTGTACTGTGAGGGTGTGTACTGTAAGGGTGTAGTGAGGGTGTGTATGTACGGGTGTAGTGGGGGTGTGTAGGGTGAGGGGTGTGTATTGTACGGGTGTAGTGAGGGGTGTAGTGTGAGGGTGTGTAGTGTGAGGGGTGTGTAGGGTGAGGGTGTGTGTGTAGTGTAGTGTGTGTGTGAGGGTGTGTAGGGGTGTGTAGTGTGAGGGGTGTGTGTAGGTACTGTAAGGGTGTAGGTGTGTAGTGTGAGGGGTGTGTAGTGAGGATGTGGGGTGAGGGGTGTGTGTGTGAGGGGTGTGTAGTGTGAGGGGTGTAGTGTGAGGGTGTGCAGTGTGAGGGTGTGTAGTGTGAGGGTGTGTAGGGTGAGTGTATGCCATGAAACGAAAACAACATGACGTAATACCTGGTGTTGTTGTTATTAAGAGAGTCCGTTTCCTTGACCAAGTAATCGATTGTCAACAGGTATAATGCAGATAAACACCTTCACCTACTGATTAGCTATTCGGTGGAAGATTGGTTCGGTTAGAAATTCGTAATAAACATCGTCCCCTCCGCTCAGTTCTTTACAAATCAGTGAAATTTGGCGACCATTTTCTCTCGTAATTAATAACTACTCTATAAAAATCTGAGCATTTATATTACAACTTAAGTTAAATTTACCCAATATCTGATTATGAAAAATAACTGGGAATTTATATATTGTATCGTAATTTATGTAAAGTTCGCTAGATACATAAACCATAGTGACGAGAAAGTTAAATTTTACGATACTTTGAGAATCTTTATATGCGAGAATTGTGACGTCTGGTAATTTGTTGACTTTGACGAATAACGTAAATAAAAACGAAACATTAATAACAAAATAAAAAACGATATTGTTTAAAGTCAAGATATTTTCATTATAATTGTGTTTAAGAATTCTTGTCCATTTGTCTTAAGTATAAAAGGAACTCGTATTTAGGGTTAAGTAAGATTAGTCTAACCCAGCTTATTAAAGTTGCATAATCTACCTTAAACTAACCTAACCTAACCTAACCTACTCTACGCTACCCTTACCTAACCTAACTAAACACAACCCCTAACCTAACCTAACTAAACACAACCCCTAACCTAACCTAACTAAACACAACCCCTAACCTAACTAAACACAACCCCTAACCTAACCTAACTAAACACAACCCCTAACCTAACCTAACTAAACACAACCCCTAACCTAACCTAACTAAACACAACCCCTAACCTAACCTAACTAAACACAACCCCTAACCTAACCTAACTAAACACAACCCCTAACCTAACCTAACTAAACACAACCCCTAACCTAACCTAACCTCCCAGGTGACATGGAGGTATTTAATCATCAGGTGAAATATAAGCTGTAGTGAACTAATCAGGTGGCTCATCCGTTTTATCATTTATCTTAATTCAACCAACTTATTACATTTTGAATTCCGAGGATTCAGAAAACATGAAAGGTTGACTGGCTTCCTGCTCTTAAGTTTATCGACAAAAGGTATAACCCTTAGTAGAACGACGGTGGCTGATTGGCTGATGCGATAACCAATCAGACGAGTGACAGTCAGAAGACACATTGTGATGGAGTGTTAGAAGGTACAAGTGTCACCTCTCATGATCCTACTTTGTTTTGATTCTGACTCGTCTCTCACTCATTGGTATCGAATCAGCTAATCAGTCGCCTCCTGCTGTCTATACGTATATCTGACAAGAGTAAGGAGTTTTGTGGGAGCTGTGATGACATAAGACATTCAGGACCAGGACACAGTCTAACAACACACTCATTATTTACTTGATATCGCCTTCAGTGTCGTTATCTAACGTCACACCAGATAACAGCTTCTTCTATAAACAGATCATTGTATGAGGTCACACGTGAAGGTATATGAATACACACACGTTCACTGTACACACAAATAACTTGACCGCCTTCACTTACCAAACTGTAACGTTAGGTACCCCTTGACAGCTGGGTACACAGAGCACGAACCAGTAGCACTCATAACAGGAAGGGAACTCTGTACCCACTTCTCCACCGCACCCCCTAATTTTATTGAGTAACAAAAAAAATAAGAACATTAAATGTAAATACTGTACTCATTAGGTTTCGCATTACCTGATGGGATTGCGTTAAGTTAGCGTTAGGGTGGTTAATCTTCAGGTGAAATGAGTTAGATGGGGAGTTAATCTTCAGGTGATCTCTGAGAACAAATACCTCGTGTTGATGCTGCTTGTGGTGGCGGCGGTAAGAGGAATGGAAAGGACACGATGACACAGTTGGTGTGACGCGGCATCATAATGTTACAGTACGGTATGTTGACCAGAATACAGTAATTTGTATCTTAGTCCTTACCATAATACTACTAATGATGACGACAATAATTATGGTAATTACACAACTACTACTACTACTATTAATAATAAACAACAAAGGTGTGTTTACGAAGGCTCATCTCAAATTTTAGATCATGTACAGTATATACAAATGCTGATATATAAAATCCCTAGGTATTTACGAATATGTAAATACTGCATATAAATATAAACAAGTAACAATACATAAATACGTAGATATATGAATATTTATACTACGTAGCTAAAGGTTGGGGTCGGTTCACTGCCCTATGTCCAACAACCTTTACACCGCCAGAGATTACCGAGCCAAGGTTAAGTGTAATGTAAATAAAGAGATATTTCCCCCTTGATAACGAAGCAGGTGTGAAGTGATAGTCGTTCTCGTGAGGGTCTGTGGTGTGGTGAAGGAAGGTGTTGGTACAGTCAGCCAAAGATGCAACGACCCCACCCTGAATCTCGTACTCGCAATTTTACCTGGCATTACTTGGTATAGTAAGGTTGTATGTAATGGTGATTGTGATTGGTGGATCTATTTTTGGCTGTATCACTGTCAGGATAAATATTAAACAACGCAAAAGTAGCATTTTTATAATAATAAACTATTCATTGTTATTTAGGATAATGAGAAGTTTCCAAATGCTCGTATATTTGCTTAAATAATGAAGAAATAATATTAATGAATTGGCAACTCAATTACAACGGGGGCTGCCACAAGATTCTCAGATCAAATTTTCTTCATTATTTAAGCAAGGGGGGTGGGGGGTCAAGACTTATCTGCTGTGACGTCTGACCCTGGTTTCAAGATTACCAAGGTCTCTATCCCTCACTGGTTTTAACTCGTGACCTGACCCCCCCCCCACCCCCCAGGGTTAATGACGTAACAAGTAGGAACAGTGGGAAGAGACTGTTCTGTACTCGACTGGATACAAGATTTTCGGGTTAGCAAAGGCACCGAACTTGTGTTGTGTAATGGATGCGTCAGTAACGACAAGCTGATGCATACAGGCGTGCGTACATATACAGTACAGTCCACACAGGCGTACATATACAGCACAGACATACAAACACCCTCGTATACACACAATCACTCTCAAGTCGGGTAATATCAAGGACGATAAAAAGGAAAAGTGTCTCTTGCACTGGGGGGTACCAGCCCCTCCCACGGACCATATAGGTTTGATTCAGTGGCTGCACGTGGCCCGAGATCCTCACACACCTACTTACATACCAGTTTCTTCTCGTCAACTAGGAAGTGAGAACTCATCGAGGTGGCTTACTGAAGCGAAGTCAAAGTGAAAAGGGACTCGATAACCCTGGCTAACCTACTCTTTAAACACCCTTCACTACGGGGACGCCACTTGTTAATATTGTATTTGGTTAACGACAGATGATTTTACTCAGCAGAGAGGGGACCCCGTACACAAGGGATTAGTAGACTTCCCCCCTTATATATATATATATATATATATATATATATATATATATATATATATATATATATATATATATATATATATATATATATATATATAAACCGTAGGGAGAGATTATCAGATTTTATTGCCAGATCTATTCACCGAAGCTTCAACTAAGGTTATAACGCTGAAGACGCCCGTTATAACAGGGACTCCGTACTGATCATCACATTAACGGAACAGAATACAGCTTGTCCGAGTGATGTAATTATAATTGTATTATCAGATAAATATTTTTTCCCAAGATTAGGTTCAGGTCAGTCGCCAGGTGGTCGCCTAAAGTAGCAGACGTCAGCGACTTGACAGTAAAAATCCCCAACATAATTATTGTATTACATGAAGATTAGTTCAGCATATTTCAGTGTGAGATTAAACGACCTTTAAAACTAACCTAACTTAATTTAGGCTGACAGTCTAGCTTCACCTAACCTAACCTCAACAATCATTGTATAACAGAATTTAAGTTAAGGCTTATTTCAGCTTAAAATTAACCACCCTAATCTTACCTAATCTAACCTATCCTACCTCATCAGTAGCATAAGCTGGGAAGGACTAATCACGTGGTCTTAACTGTTGATATCTAGACTAAACTATAAAAAAATATCATAACACCACATTGATAAACAAGAAACTAAGACTATCACTTGTTCATATCTAATCTAAAAATTTATATAGTTTTTACAGACGGTTTCAAATAATAAACACCACTTTACAACAGATAAACGCCATCCTAGACACAGTTGGCGGTTGGCTCGACTCACACTAAGCTGGGCTGTAGCGTATTATACTTCAAGCTCTTATCTGTCTGCTGTCTAGCCTTGATTATATAAGTTGTTTTTTTATATCCCCCCACTTCCCAGGTTCTATTATAAACAGATCTTATTTATCCCACTATTATCTAGGTTCTATAGAAGAAGAAATCCGTTTATCCTATCATAAATCTAAGTTATATAATTCTTGTTTTATTCCATTTTTTCAGGTTATATAAAAAAGAAAATCCGTTTATCCTACCATTAATCCAGGTTGAGATAAAATCTTTTATCCCACCTAACAAAAATAAAAAGGTTATCTTATTTTCATACCCACGTTATATATTACAAGTAAAATCAAGGTAAATTCCCCATATGTAAGGTTATGTGATCCTCCACCCTCTCGTCGCTACTTGGTTCAACACCCTCCACTCTCTCTTAGAATAATCTCACCTCGTTACATCATTATTTCTGTGATATTGATTACTGCGACGAGAGGCCAGACACCCAGAGATACGACGATTGACTGGTGTGTCGCGATGTTCCTAAAATTAGACCAAAATCAAGACGATGATAGACTACACGACACGAACCAATTAGAGATTTTTTGGGTTAGTTTTGACTAGATTTTGGTTAGGTTATGTTATCCGCAAATCTCTACTACACCTGTCACCTTTTGTACAGTCTCGTTCAAGATTCTTCGAACATTGCTGGAGACAGCTGGCGACTCAAGGCCGTTTGTTCTATAGTACCAAGTAAAAATTATGAATAAATGTAAGTGATCGGTTACTAGTTCCCCGTTGCTTAATTTAATGGTTGGGCTTTGTTGTTTTGTATTATATTATACTACGTACTATAGTAAACAAACGGCCTTGAGTTGCCAGCTGTCTCCAATAGTGTTCGAAGAATCTTGAACGAGACTACACGTTTTCCTCGTGCTCTTCCTTAGCTCACCCGTCCCCCACCTTCAGGAAATACCGCCGGGCGTCTACATACCGCCGTGATGGACGCTGGTGGGAGTGGGCGCTACGGGCGTGGGGACAAGCCATCCACCTCGTCCGTATCCTGGAGGCCAGACTCTCTCTCCTCAAATTCACCACCACCGTCGCCTCCTTCATGGCCTTCCTCTGTGTACTGCCACTCCTCTTCTTCCTTTACACGGGTCAGTCTCAGTTTTATTCTCCCGAAGTAGTCTTGGTGGAGAAAAACCGCTTAAGATTCACAATAATCATTTTAAGATCCAAGTATTTTGTAGTACGCCTTTTTTCTTTAAGAGCACCGTGTCTTTAACTATGCTGTGGAGTATTTGACATGTTTAGTATAGACATTGTAACTCTTACGTAACCCTGATATAATACATATTTACAGGTACAGTATATTCATTTTCCAGCTTATATGACCCTGATGTTACACGTGTATTTGTGAAATGTTTTCAGTAATACATAATTATATACAAGCATTTTCAATACCCAGTTAATCCTTATATAACTGTGATGTTTAAGATCCTAAGTTACAAAGTATTTTTAATTTACATTTCGCTCTAAAGGGATCAAGTGTTGGCGTGCGGTGGTGAAGGCATGGGCGGTACGGGCCATGGAGGGCGTGGAGGAGATGACGGGTGTTACGGTAAGGGCGGCCATGGAGACCTCAAGCAGCCCGGGCATGGAGACTCTCCTCTTCTGTCTCTCCGGCACCCCACACGTCTCCCACATCAAGGAAAAAATCATGGTGAGAGACGAAGTGTTCTTCATGTTATTAATGGGATCACCTGAAGATCAGCCACCCTAACTTATTTCGTATGATGGTCAAACACCCTAAAGCTTCGAGTGAACAGACTATAACAGCTTCATCTGTTTAGAAAATTACAAAGACTGCCAAACGAACTACAGCAAACCTAACCTAACCAAACAAAAATTAAACTACCCCAAATATATTATAAATATCCTTGGATCATTAGGCTAGGCGTGATTAGGTTTAATAAAAAAAATTTAGGTTTAAAAAATTTAGGTTGGGTTAGGTTAGATCATACCAGCCATAAACTGAGTCAGGTGCAATTAGGTGTTACTGTATCTTGGTGCAGGAGGACGTGGTGGGGCGGATGGACGCCAGCGGGCAGTTCCTTCATCCTAACTTCCGTCGTCTGCTGATGCACGTGGGCGGCTACTACGTGTGGATGAGACACGACAACTTCGATATAGACCAACACATCATCATGGCGCCACTACACTACCGCGGCCGCCTCGTCACTTCCAGGAACATACAGGTGAGCGCTATGTGCCTGGCTCTCACCTCTTATTTCATCTAATCATGTATTACGGTATTATCTCGGCAAGAACTACTCACTATGATGCTTATGTATGTTTACAGGAGTACGTGAGCGAGGTGGTGAGTCAGCCACTACCAGAGGACCTGCCACCGTGGCGCATTACAGTCATAGCCACTTGTGACGGAGGCAGCGGTGAGGACGGGGAGACGTGGGTGGTGGCGCGCGCTCACCACCTTCTGGCCTCCAATTTGTCACTTCCTGACCTGCTGGTGACGGCTTACCCTGACCCCTGGCGCAACCCAGCAACCCGGGGCCTCACACTACTGGCTGCCCCTGCCGCCACCCGACGTTTTATCAACACCACCATCACCCTGGCCACCACCACAGCAGGCAAGGCTAGCAAGGCCTGTAAGAGGTGGTGTAATGAGAGATACGCCAGATTTGTAACGCCCATTGTCGGTCTGCTGGAGGAGTCCATACAGGCAGCTCATAAGGTGGCGCCTGAAGAACTTCCTGCTCCGGTGGCGCGAGTCACGGCGGCCATCCTTACCATGTTCTTCTCTCTGGGGGGAAAACTTAACGATCATCTTAGTTCACTGTGGGCGGTCTCAAGGAAGTACTTGAACCTACGATCAGTGTTTCACGCCTGGGTCCTCTGTGTGGTCTGGTCAGTGGGGCTGTGGTGGCTGTGTGTCGTGTGGTGGCTGAAGTTACCCTGGACCATATGTGTGTGGGGCTGTAGGGCGTGTCTCTGGGTGAAGGAGATTCGTGCCAGTGAGGAGTACGCCATAGTGGTAGACGCCGTGGTGGAGGTGTACTGGATGATTCGAGCCTTCGTGTCACTGCCCAGACTCGTGCTGGAGGAGGCGTTTAGCATCCGGGGAGTAACACCTCTCATGGGTTGGGTTGGACGCCGCCAAAGAACACTGTCATCGCGGGGTCTGGGTCGCACGGGAGGCATGGCAGTAGCGTGGAGTGACTCAGTACCTCTAAGCACAGCCCGCGGTGTGCGCGGTGCGACTGGTGCCTCGCTTACCGAAGTTCTGCTGACTGCCTCAGCAGGTGCTGTCCGGGACTACCTCCGCGTGACGGGGCTGCCTGTGCCCGATGAGGTGTGCTGCACCCTGCCCGTGTACTCTCAGAGGTGGGCGGACAGTCGTGGCACCTCCCGCACGCCCGGTCTGGTCACAATGGCGCTGCCTACAGGAGCCGCCGAGGCCTCCACGGCTTTACACATAGTACGGGAGTCGATGGAGAAGGTTCACGCCTACCCCGAGCGTTACCTGGCGTCAGTGTGGCTCATGAGGAACGTGGCGTACTTCTTACCAGAGTCGCTGTTAGGTTCGGTGTTCCGTGCACTGTCAGCCCGCTACCCAGTCCTTATGTCCAACCTGGCGGGGCCCTCAGAGCCCATCAACCTCTGGGGCCACGACCTCCTCAACATCTTCTACTGGAGGCCTCCACAAGATGGCGCAGGTGAGTCACATATATATGACGTCACGAAACTAGTTAACATCAACTGTAGTAATTCATTAACCCCCTTGAGTTATGACAGACTAAACACAGCTTCACTCTTAACTGACCACCCTCAAGTCTACATTGCATGTTAAATTTGATTTATCTTAATACTGCATTTAGAAATGTTACAAATCTAGCTTACCTCCCACACGCAGTACACCTAAAGATTAAACCTCCGCCATGCTGACTTGACCTACTGTTCGTGTATATGAATTTAAATTACCCGAAGATTACCTGCACTTATTTTTACATTATTATTTGTGTATATTAGTTTCTGTGTATAAATCTGTACCCTTGTCTCTCCACAGTATTGTCGGTATGCGTGGCGTCGTACCAGGGTCAGGCTCACCTAGGCGTGGTGGCTGATGGCCGGGTAGTGCCCAACGCGGCCACCATGCCTCAAGCTTTCGTTACCCACCTCAACGAACTGGCTGTCAACACCGGCGTCAGGCTGTACGTGTCCCCTACAAGATGTATATACAGTGTAGGAAAATTACCACGAAAAAGATGTAGGCTACAGTGTAAAACCATTTATGAAAGGCGCCAATCAAATTTTATAATAGCCAAACCTAAATAAACTAAATCTAACCCTACAATCATAGGGGAATTTGGATTAGGTTAGTTGGTGTCGTCTTTCTTCTATAAATAGTTTAGGGCCGTAATCCTCGTCCTGTTCGTGGTATTTTTACTACACTGTACAACTTACGTGTTTTTGCTTATTTGTCCCACACGCAAAAATACTCACAGATGAATTATTTAGATAACTAATGAACCACTAACCTGAAGTACAAAGGATTATAGGAAATCACGGCATTTGACTTTACTTGTCCTAAGATTAGGTGAGAACATCTATTGTTAAAACATCATCCTTAAAGGGTTAAAGCTTATCATCGTCCTTAATACATTACTAACATTAGTTTAAATCCCGCCATTTCCAGCTAATTACGCTAATGTATATTCCTTCATTAACACTAAAACTCGGCCTATGTTTGTCACGCAGGGAACGCCAGTCATCACGCAACTGGTGCAGAGGACATTCCCCTGCGACCACGCCCTCACCCTCACCCACGCCCCCGTCCACGCCCACCACCTACAGGAGTTCCTATCCCCAGTGGAACAGATACAAGTCACCAGGTCAGGTGCCGAGGCGGCAATCTGCCTTGTTCTAAGACGTGTTCAGAACCTTGTCTGGACAGTTCTGTGTGACTAAGTGATGTTCAAAACCTGAGTCAGACAGTTCTCAGTGTTAAAGTGGTCAGAACTTGGTCTGGACAGTTCTGAGTGATTAAGTGGTAATCAGAACCTGGGTTATGACAGTTCTGAGTGTTCAAGTGATGTTCTGCATGTATTAGTACGTTCAGAACCTCGGGCGTACAGTTCTGAGTGATTAAGTCGTGTTGAGAGCCTGAGCTGGACAGTTCTAACTGTTCCAGTGATATTTAGAACCTCGGGTGTACAGTTCTTAGCGTTCTACAAGAGCGTTCGAGTGTTCACACCAAACAAATGTTAACTCTTACAGGTGTATTTATCGTAGACGTTCAAATACGATAGTAAACTAGTAATACCTAACAAAATATATACTGTAGTCCTCACCTTTCATAAAACCAGTGTCGGGTTTAATGGCTACCTTTCCTAACAGGCCGCAACCTAACCCATTAACCCCTTTGAACACGAAGACTTAAACCACGACAAAGGGTTAAGCCATCGTATTCAAGGGTTTAAGATTTCGTCCCATTAGGGTTTGTTTTCACTTAGATTGGCACCCAATTAAGGCTGCTGCCCCCCCCCCATCCCGAGGGTTAGGTTAGGTGGGGGGGGGGGGCATTCAGTCGTGCTTAAAAGACAGAGATGCACTGGCTCTCATGCGCTTTTTAACAAATATACAGTACTGTATATTCACTTTTTATAATTATATTTTTCCATCATACTCGTCTATGTTGATGTTATAAATATATCTCTTCAACAGCTAAGGTCTTCAAATATGTACACTAAATAATTTCATATAGCAGACGAGCTGAATAAAATCGTGTGACATTAATCAAATAGCATTAAGTTGGCGTCCCCGTAGTGAAGGGGATAGTTGGTGGTAATACTTTATCAAACGGGTATCTTTCTAGGTTAGTAAATAAACGCCATCAACAGTTAGAAATTAAGACATGCCAATATTTTGTCTTTCGAAATTGAACTTTATAGGAATATGTAGTGACCGCAGCAACATATTACTGGTTCATGGAACAATATTTTTCCCACATATCCTCAACAATCAATAAATTATTTTTTAAACAATAAAGCCGAACAAATATCAATTACAAACGTGTATTAAAATAATACACCAGTGACCCGAAGAAAGTTACCGTAAAAGCCTATCCAATTTCCGTAGCTCAAACTGGGTCCAGGACTCACGCTTAATGCGGTTAAAGCGTTTGTATTCTTCTACCTTGCGAAAAAAACACGACTGATTGTATGAAATAGCATCGTGATATTCTAATGTATTATGTATAGTAAGAATGTGTGTTTTTAACTGCAGAATAAAGACGAACAAATAAAAACTGTCAACAAACATTCCGCACAAACATAATGGTGTATCATAATATTAAGAATCGTTAATTTTTAAACAATAACTTAATGTGTTTACGCAATACCTCTTGAGAGTGTGTGGCCAAAGTATACGTGTTGACAGTCCTCACTTTTGCAGTCACTTCAAGTTCTTTCTACTACAGCTCGTCTTCTGAATGGCGTCTGTGGCCTTAAGCTGTCAATATGTAAAACCTCAGAGATCAGGGCGAGGTTAATAGAATTTTGCTTTACCCTCTTTGATGTCTCGCCTATCCTGCTATCCCGATTTTAGCTTCGTCTCTCACCCTGCCACCTTTACAATAGTCTGCCTCTCACCCTGCCACTCCTACAATAGTCTGCCTCTCACCCTGCCACCCCTACAAGTCTGCCTCTCACCCTGCCACCCCTACAACAGTCTGCCTCTCACCCTGCCACCCCTACAACAGTCTGCCTCTCACCCTGCCACCCCTACAATAGTTTGCCTCACCCTGCCACCCCTACAATAGTCTGCCTCTCACCCTGCACCCCTACAACAGTCTGCTTCTCACCCTGCCACCCCTACAACAGTCTGCCTCTCACCCTGCCACCCCTACAATAGTCTGCCTCTCACCCTGCCACTCCTACAACAGTCTGCCTCTCACCCTGCCACCCCTACAACAGTCTGCCTCTCACCCTGCCACCCATACAACAGTCTGCCTACCACCCCCCTTGTCATAAACCCTGCCACAGCTCCTTCCACACTACAAATCTCACTTTCACGAACAAACTGATCATGTAATTTCTATCTCCAACGTAAACAAAACATATTATAGTCACCCCTTATAATTTTCTTTCTTTTCACTCCCAGCTCTTGTCTAACTCTCTTATACCTGTATTTGTTATATCATGTTCCCATATCTCACCGTAAACATATGCCTAAACTAAGAAGATTTACTCAGTGTTAATTAAATAAAAGTTCAGCCATTTGTGTTTGAGTCCGAAAGCCTCATACTAATTTGGATATCCATTTTGACTTGGTGTGGCTTATGTTAATGTACAGTACCTCATAGCTTAATGGTTCACAGTTGGGATGATGTCTATTTTAGAGTCGGTATATGTGTGTGATCAGGGTAGGTAAACAAAGTGTCTTGACCGTGGGACCAAAACTTATTAATGTCATGTTAATTAAAGCTTTAAATCAACTCCTGGTATGATGAAGTAGTCGGGCTAGGAAACTGTACCGTATTTCTCCCCATTTGAGGTGTATTGTCTAATGGGTCACTTGATGGTTCACAGCTGGTATGGCATTGCGATTTTTTTTGTCCCATACACACACTATTTATTAAGCGTGGAAAATGGCCATAAAATGATTCACAATAGCTCCCAACAGTAGTCTCTTCCCAACTCTGAATTTGTGTAATATTGCTAGTAAATGATGCCCTGTACTTAAAAAAGCTCGTATTTCCAGCAATAAAATATTCGTCATATTATTTTGTAAAATTTAATAAAACATATATTGTACGTAGATGGTTTTGTTTAACCCATTACAACAGAGGTTAACCTATAGTGAGTCCTGGAAGGTGCGTATAGTTATGTTGAGTGGAGGTGCGTGTAGAGCGTTCCTTGCACCTTCTTTCTCAATAGTGCCATAAAACACTGTAATATTCACTAGTAATTTAGTAGCTCTTCATGGCAGCTGTTGAAAGAGTGAGCTGTGTTATGTCACCTATAGGTAAGTCTTTATTGACTCTAGCTTCAATAGACTGATGCGACCAGAGATGGTTACCTAAGAGATGTTAATAAAAACTCGAGTGGTTTGTGTAGCTGCCCCCCTTTAAAACACCATTTAATTTTGGGCCGCTGATGGCTCGATGGTCCGGACAATAAAGGCACAACTCACACAAAAACGCTGCAAGTGTTGCGATACTGTCCATCTCTAAGGCAGACCTTGTTAAAAATAACTGAGCATTCGTCCCCCAGATGGTACCGACCACCCCAGCTGGCTCCTGCAGTTACTGAAGGTGCTGGATGTGTTGTGTGGATTGATTGACATGCTTACACACAACGGTCGCTTTACACCTTATAACTTGTGAGCGGTAAGTTACCTAACAATATTTATAAGGCATACTTGTACTCTACTTAAAAACCCAAAGCGATAAATATTAAGAACAAATCTTGAATTACTATAGTGTTGTTAGTGGCTGAAGGTGTTCGAACATTTATGACTTCGCTTCAAATAATAATATTAATATTACGGGGATTGATATAAATAAATAAATAAATAATATATATATATATATATATATATATATATATATATATATATATATATATATATATATATATATATATTGTACTATACTAGGCGGGCAAGAAGTGACAATACAAGTCTATGAACACCTCGGTCGAGTGTTCATACCTGGGGCTGGCAGATAGACGCCCACCAAACTAGAGGTCACAGCTCAAGTTTAAAGAAGCCACAAGTTCAAATAATTGTCAAGGCAAACTTTTTTGGAGCGAGTTGTAAACTCTTGAAATAATCTGCCAGCGAGCATTGTGATGGCACCAAGTGAGAGCCGATTCATCCAGATACATGACCAATACTTGCCAACAGTGTGAACAGAGGTGCGACCGACCGCCCAAGCTGCCTGCTGACGACCAATCAGTGGAAGAGGAAACAGTAAAGCAAACTCACCAAATATTTCTGTCCAGTTAGAACAAGTTATATCTGACGACGACTACATCTTGTCTTAGGCCAACACCAGCACCTGAAGCAACAGTCACCACACACAGGTTAACGATGCATTAACTCAGGTGATCTTCAACACCAACTGACAGCTGGTGCATCTCACCACACCTGTGAATAAATTATTTCAGTAAACATCACATCTGAGTCTTCAACACATTAAGTCTTCATTATCACCGTGAAAACAACTCGTGTACTGATCAGGACACAATTTAATTATTTGCTGGTATCTTCGATCCCGGAACTCTCCATTGCCAGGAAAAGCTTTAGATCATTCCAAGAAATTCCAGAAAAAATTCCTCCATTCCCGGCATTCGAATGAATGCGAGATTGCATCTTGCGCCGACACGCGGGCTTAGCGCGTAGGTGGGTATTATATAAACGGCTCTGGGCTCAGTCCTTGTGAGCTACCATTGGCTACCACTCATGGACTGCATGGGACACCTATGATTAGTTGACGTATCTAATAGGCTGTCTCCTCAAACTCTTAATTCATTGTCTACTGCCAGTGTACGTATGCTCGCAAACGGCTGTTTTCGCATAACATGTGTGTTGTGCAGGAGACACTTCCTAGGTTAAGGTTGGATTCCGTTCCTGGTGGCAAGTCGTGACAACCTGTCGTCCATTTTTTTTTTTTTTTTTTTTTTTACGGGAATTAGCCCACCCGGGCACAGGTCAAACGACCCACAACGGAGCCTGGGGGGCGAAAAAGAAAGAACGGAAAGAAATTGAAAATATAGAAAAAGGTTATATTGTATTAATCTACACCACGAAGATGCCGGAAAACCAGCTTTTTAAAGTAAGACAGATTGTAAGAGCATGGAAACACAGAAGAAGGCAGAGCATTCCATAGTTTGGCTGTGTGAGGAAAGGAGGAAGTACTATAACGGGTTATTCTCGTGTGACCGACATCCAGAGAAATGGTGGGCACCGCGGGCAAGACATGTGTTACGAACCCACGGCCTTGCCGGCGGTACACAGGATGTCAAATCCACTGAACATTGCCCGTTAAAGTACCTGTAAAAGAGAGTGAAGCAACATTGCGGCGAAGAGAAAGGGGAGATAAATTGTCGACTAAAGGAGGAGAGTTAATAAGACGAAATGCCTTTGAATCCTACCTATCTAATAGTTGGACAGAAGAAGAGCCACCCCAGATATGAGAGCAATACTCCAAGTTAGGACGAATGAATCCCTTATATACTTGGAGCAACTGCTCAGGAGTGAAGTAGCTGCGGCATCTGTACAGCATCCCCAACTTTCGGGAGGCAACTTTAGTTATACTAAGGATGTGTGATTTCCAGGACATATTGGAGGAAATGGTGAGGCCTAACATATTTATTTCAGAATTTGGGAGGATGATAGCGTCCTGAAATGTAATTGGTGGGAGATCGTCTAATTTACAAAGTGTAATTGGTAAATATTGAGTTTTGTTACTATTGAACTTAACCAAGTTTGTATCTCCCCATTCAGAGATGCTGCACAGATCCGCGTTGATAGAAGTAATGATATCAGTTCTAGAAACAGATCTAGTTTGAGAGTTAGGAGGAAGGGGAAAATGTGAGGAAGAGTGAAGAGTAGAATCATCGGCGTAAGAATGGATAGAATTAGTTGTAGTGTGAAGTAAATCATTGATAAAAAGAAGAAAGAGAGTTGGTGAAAGAACAGAACCCTGTGGGACGCCACTACTGGTAGAGAAAGAGCGAGAAATCGATCCCTCGACAACAACTACCATGGATCGGTTCTCAAGGAAGCTAGAGATGAGAGAACAAAGTGGGGGAGAGAAACCAAAAGAGGGAAGTTTAGATAGCAAAGATTTGTGCCATACCCTGTCAAATGCTTTGGAGATGTCGAGGGCCACGACGAAAGTTTCCCCATAATCCCTAAGAGAGGATGACCAAAGATGGGTGCAGTAGGAGAGCAGATCACCAGTAGATCTCGCCTGGCGAAAGCCAGACTGGTGATCCGACAAAAGAGAGAGGCGTTCAAGGTGGCGGAGAAAATGGGAGTTCAAGATAGTTTCGAAAATCTTAGAGAGGGATGAAGTTAGGGCAATGGGGCGATAGTTAGAGGGATTAGAATGGTCACCCTTCTTTGGGATGGGTTGAACCAAGGCATGCTTCCAAGAAGAAGGAAAAGTTTTGGTTTTGAGGCAAAGGCGAAAGAGGCGAGCAAGCACAGGGGCCAGGGCTTCAGCACACTCCCTCAGAACACGAGGGGGTATTCCGTCCGGTCCTTGCGCCTTACTCACATCCAACCTGGATAACACACCGGCAACCCTGCGAGTGGAGATTATAATCTCCTATGCACTTTCCTATAATTATAGGAAAGTGCATAGGTTCAGTAGGAGGTGCAGGGGTAGGAGGGGTAGAGTGGGAATCGTCTAAGGTGGAATTAGAGGAGAATAAGGTGCCAAAGAGGTTGGCTTTCTCAGGGGGAGAGTTGGCTATAGAGTTATTGGGACGGAAGAGGGGAGGAAAAGAAGGCGTGCAGAAGTTTTTACAGATGTTTTTAGCTAAGGACCAGAAGGATTTACTAGAGGGAGAATTAGTCAGGACAGCAGGTTAGGTTAGGTTAGTAACTGGAAGTGAATGAGAAAAATTTGGCGATAATGGTATCACTGGACACTTAACACCGGGTATATTTGCTCATATACCTCCACCCCGGCTGTGCCTTCTCTTATATTACACTATAAACTAAACACACATATATATTAACTCCTTAAAGCAGACTTATTGTTCAACTTACCTTAATTTTAACATCGAATGCCATCCGTAAAGCAGCAGACAAGTCACACAGTCTCACTCCCGTCACGACTCACGCTACTTTGGCTTCCCCAGACACTCCCGCCAAGCGTCAACCAATCACAGTCATTCTTGTTCAACCATTTGAAATTTGACCAATCACCCATAAGCTTGCAACCATCTACATTTTAAGGAACCAATAATAATGGCTTACCTGAAAAGTGACCAATCAGAGGTAAGCTTTCAACCATCTTGACAACCAGGGTAGATATATATTTATTCAGAACTTATTCGCCTTTATTTATCTAATAGTCTTTCTCAGAAAATATATATAACTTTATTAACTTGATATTAAAATACTTGAATATTGGTTACACTTAAACTGTCTGTACACTTGCATAATCTATGTTTATACTGTAGTGCATTCCTGTAGGGTCTACGGTATATACCGCCTGTACATGCTGAATCACTGTGAATTTGTATGATGAATTTACTGAATAAATATCCATCAAAGACAAATATAGCAGAATAATATTACTATTTATAAAGTTTCATAAAGATCTCTGTGTTTACTTTTACCATAGGTTTTAGTATAGTGTATTTTCATTTATTGATGTGTCTACCAGAATGTTGTGGCAGTTCTCACACATCGACGAGTGAGGAAAATGTTGTTATAAAACAAATATTCAGTCACCATGAAAATTTATGAAGTAGTGCATACATTTTTGGAGACATCCTGATATATCGACTGGGAACTTCATAAACACAAGAGGCTAAATAAAACCCATATTTAATACACCTCTCGTTTATTAACACACAGTGTTTCATTATAATATTAACTCTTTAAAGAAAATATTATTATTTGGATCACAGACTTATTGATTACGTGAGAAGTTTACAATGCCAAACGTACTGTATAGGCTTTAACCATAAAACATTAACATTAAACTTTATTAAACAGACTCATCGTAATACTTATAATAATAATAATAATAATGATAATAATAATAATAATTAAGAACTACCTCAAGAAC